CGACCAGGAGGACGTTAGCGACACGCTGACCGACTGACACACTTCTGACAGCAGCACACATCGATCAGCTGTTTCCATCAGAGCGTCTGTCGTGTTGAGAACATTTCAGATTTGTCCTGATGCCCACATGAGGACGATTAGCTCTGAGTCACCGGGCCCAGTGGACCGGGCCCAGTGGACCGGGCCCTCAGGCTGCAGGAAGCTCCAGAACTCTGGTCCAACGCTGCTCAACAACCGCTTTAAGAAGATGTCTTTGATTCAATCTCTGACCTCAGAGCTGCTTCTGTCTCATTTCTACTTGTAATATAAAGTCCTGCACCGCTGTGGACCAGAACCACCACCAAGAACTCAGCAGCAAACTGACAAACCTGGAATCAACTGGTGTTACGAAAACTGGATTTAAAAAAAAGAAAAAAAAAGGCAGCTCCACATATTATTAAATTATTTACATTAGACTTCTCTTTTTTCACACGACACGGTAAAGAAATGCTCATTTTTACCAGATAATATATTTTGTGCTACAGTTTACTGACAAACTTTATTTTACAGATTTTTTTCTGCTTTATTAAATTACAGATAAAAACTAGTAAAATCCCTGATTTTTTATTTTTATTTTGATGTTTATGTTAAAGAAAAACACCACAAAATCAAACTATATTTAAATCAGAAAGAAACTGTTTTGCACTTATTTGCTGTTACTTCAAGAAAATTTAAAGACAAATAATTTCAGAATTTAAAAAAAAATGGTCAGTATAGTTTTTAAATGTTATTTCACAGATTTTTCCAACTTTATTAAATTACAGAAAAAAATATTTAGATGTTGACTGTAAAAAAAACCAAAAAACAAACACCATAAAATTAAAATTATATTTAAATCAGACCAAAAAATGCAGTTATATGCCGTCACTTAAACAAAATTTGAAGACATACACTTTTTGAAAAATGATAAATATAGTTATTAAATGTCAGTTTCCAGATGTTTCCTGTTTTGTTAAATTGCAGATGATGTCTGGTGAAGGTGAAGTGAAAACACCGCCTGCAGTTCAGCCTGAACTTCTGCAACACGAGTCACAGTCGAGGCTTCACCGCTGATTCTTTAAAGAATTTGTGTTCTGCAAAAAATATTCATTTTATTTTCTGATGAGGCACACAGAATAAAGGGATTTTGTTGGAGCTTCAGTTTCCCAGACGAGCATCAGAGCTGAAGCTGTCTTTGTTCTTGTGGTTCTGTTCCTGATCTTTGTTTTTGTGGTTCTGTTCCTGATCGGTTCTGTCGTTTTGGTGACTGTTACAGATAAACGCCTTCTGTGGGCTTCAGAGGCTCGGCATGTTTTTCCACTTTCTGTCTGAAGACGCCCTTCAGCTCTGAGCCGGGCTTCGGCCGCCAGAAGAGGGAGCGAGAGCCCCACAGAGAGCAGTGACCCGGGTCAGAACCCACAGCTGGGCCTTTGTTTCCCCTCAGTGCCCAGAGACAGAGCAGCTCTGTGTGGACCAGCGGCTCTGGGACGTCTCCCTCCAGAACCACATGACACCGAGTCTGTTAAAGTGAAAAACAGCCAAATCCAGCTCCAGAGAGTCGACAGACTCCCAGAGTTGGGCCGCCTTCTGTCGGGACGTAAACAGATTCTGGTTATCGGGTCGCAGTGCCTGGAAACCCGCCATCAGCTGGTTTCCTTTGGATCATGTCGAGTCAAAGAATCTCTGCGTGTCGGCTGTGACCAGAGTTCTGAGCTTCTCAGTCACGGTTCTGTCGTCTGAGAACATTTTCACAAAAATTACATTTACAGAGACAATTTAACCCGATTTCACCTCCTGATGGTTCACTCAGAACCGAATGTTCTAATGCAGACTGTCAGGATTTAAACCAGAACCCAGAGAGACACCACACCACTGCTGCTTCAGTCTTTAAACTGGCTCCCAGTATGTTTCAGTCTTTAAACTGGCTCCCAGTATGTTGTGGTTTTACTGGCGTTGGTGTTGAAGCTGAACTCTGCAGCCGTTTCAATACATTTTAGGAAGTTTTTAACTGATTTTTTTGANTCAGCCAACCAACTACATGGAGTTTGATGACTGATTCTGTTCTCTGTGGCTGAAGGTGTTTTTATTTAACTGGAACACGTTTTAAATCCTGAAGCCGGTTTAATGAATTTGCAGCAACTTGACTTTGGTTTTAAATCCATGAACGCAGATTTAAACGACACGTGATCTTCAGTTAGAAGTCATTACGTGATCTGAGTCAGTAACCTGATGTCTGTGTGGATTCTGGACAGAACTGAAGGAGCCTCTAGAACCTCAACCAGAGGTCCGGTTGCTTTGTACTGCAGTAAATGGGATGTTTGGACCATGCATTCAACACGGGCTGCCAGGGGTCACGTACCTGCTGGAACGGGCTGTTCATGCGCCGGCTGCAGGTCAGGTAGTAGTCCAACACATCTGAACGGCAACAGAACAAAAGGTCAGCTCACAATGGAAGCATCGTTCATCACATTGTGCAGACACAAGCACATTTAGAACCGTCCGGTTCCACAAGGTTCTGTACCTGCACTGGTCCCGGTGTTGAACTGGGTGGAGTTGAGGACGAAGGCGTTCGGGTCCGAGCAGAAGTCGCTGAGAGCCTGCAGAGAGTAAAGGAGGAGAGAGGAGGACAGGAGGAGGGAGGAGGGAGGAGGAGGACAGGAGGAGGACAGGAAGAGAGAGGAGGGAGGAGGACAGGAGGAGAGAGGAGGGAGGAGGAGGAGAGGAGGACAGGAGGAGGGAGGAGGACAGGAGGAGGACAGGAGGAGGGAGGAGGAG